TTCTAGGTGTGGGCCATGGCCCCTGCCCAAATAGGAATTTTTTCTTTTTTTCGAGACGGGAATCTTGCTCTGTCACTAGGCTGGAGTGCAGTGGAGTGATTTCGGCTCATTGCAACCTCTGCCTCCTGGGTTCAAGCAATTCTGCTGCCTCAGCCTCTCTAGTAGCTGGGACTACAGGCGCCCACCACCACACTCAGCTCATTTTTGTATCTGTAGTAGAGACAGGTGTCACCATGTTGGCCAGGATGGTCACGATCTCTTGACTTCATAACCCACCCGCCTCCGCCTCTTGAAGTGCTAGGATTACAGGCGTGAGCCACTGTGCCTAGCCATTCACAGCACTTTAGGTGGAATTCTTTTCCCCGACCCCGTGTAAATCTTGAACTCTCAGAACAACTTAGGAAGGACCCTGGGCCTTCGCACCCAGGTTCTGGCACCTGAGATGTGGCTTTTCCCCTGGGACCCATCCCCGAGATGAGGGATCTGGGTGCTCAAATTACCTGCCTTTCACTCTCAAGCACTTTCGAATTTGTTGTTCTACACAAGACGTTGTTCTTCCCGCACACCTGCCAGCGCTCTCCCCTGCCCCGGTGGGCTTGGGGTGCACCCTGTTGGCACCAGGGCTGAGCCCATTTTCCGTTGTAGCTTCAGCTCCATGAATATCATATTTGTTTCTCTTGTTGACAGGCACTTAGGCTGTAATTCTTTCGGTGTTTGCTTTGTCTTGTTTTGCTACTAACAAAAAATGCTGCATTGAACACTCACCTCTAAGACTGTTATGAGAAGCTGTGAAGAAACGTGGCCCTCTGTGCCCATGCCAGCCTCAGGGACATGCTTTATTGAAGAGACTTGGCCCCCTGTGACCAGGTCAGCCTCAGGGACGTGCTTTATTAATTTTCTTGTTTTTGTTGCTCCCTGTCATCTGCATGACCTTTGAAAGGTCGCACTCAGTCAGGCACAGTAGCGCACACCTGTAATCCCAGCACTGAGAGAGGCCGAGGAGAGCGGATCATAAGGTCAGGAGTTCGAGACCAGCCTGGCCAACATGGCAAAACCCCGTCTCTACTAAGAGTACAAAAATTAGCCAGGCATGCTGGCGGGTGCCCATAATCCCAGCTTCTCAGAAGGCTAAGGCAGGAGAATCGCTTGAACCCAGGAGGCAGAGGTTACAATGAGCCGCGATCACGTCACTGCACTCCAGCCTGGGCGACAGTGAGGCTCCTTCTCAAGAAATAAAAAAAGAATAAGCAGCTAGCATCAGGAACCACAGTTGTTGGTGCAGGCGCAGGTGCTTCTGTGGGAAGAAGAGGAGATATCGCCTCCTCCTGCGGCCCTGGAGCGTGGGGGCAGGGATGCTGCAGGCGAGGACCGTTCATGGTAGTAAAGTCATGTGGGAGGGGAGGGGAGAGGAGGGGAGGGAATGGAATGGAGGCCCAGGACCATGTGGGCACAACAGCAGGGACCAGATAGTCACCCAGACTGAGTCAAGTTGAGGCAGGGTCCTGGGGCCCCGGGTCAGTGTGACGGCCGGGGCTCAGCACACGCGTCCCAGGACTGGGCAGTTCCACCTCTGCACGTAGACACGGACAAGGGTGCTCCTAGTAGCCCAACCCATGTGCTCCTTGGCAGAATGGGTCCATCTGTCCTGCGGGGTACTGGGCAGTGACCCAACAGAGAACCTACATCCTGGTGTACCAGCACGGAGGGGCCTTTGTTTGCAATCGGTTTCCTGTTTAGCTCTTTTTATTTATTTTTTTTACTTTAAAAAATTTTTTTTAGGCAGGGTCTTGCTCTGTTGCCCAAACAGAGTTCGGTGGCACAAACAGGGCTCACTGCAGCCTTGGCCTCCCTTGCTCAAACGGTCCTCCCACGCCAGCCTCCTAAGTAATTAGGACTACAGACATGTGCCACCATGCCCACCTACTTTTTAAATTTTTTTTTCTTTTCTTTTTTTTTTGAGACAGAGTTTTGCTGTTGTCCAGGCTGGAATGCAGTGATGTTTTCTCGGTTGACTGCGGCCTCCACCCCCAGGTTTAAGTGATTCTCCTGCCTCAGCCTCCCGAGTAGCTGGGATTATAGGCATACACCACCACGCCTGGCTAATTCTGTATTTTTAGTAGAGACAGGGCTTCTCCGTGTTAGTGAGTCTGATCTCAAACTCCTGACCTCAGGTGATCCTCTTGCCTTGGCCTCCCAAAGTGCTGAGATTACAGGCATCAGCCACCACGCCGGACTTTTAAGTTTTTTTTTTTTTTTTTTTGAGACAGAGTCTGGTTGCTTCTCCCAGGCTGGAGTGCAGTGGCACAATATCAGCTCACTGCAACCTCTGCCTCCCTGGTTCAAGTGATTCTCCTGCCTTAGCCTCCCGAGTACCTGGGATTACAGGTGCACGCCACCACGCCTGGCTAACTTTTTTTGTATCTTTAGTAGAGATGGTGTTTCACCATGTTGGCCAGGCTGGTCTTGAACTCCTGACCTTGTGTTGTGCCCACCTCGGCCTCCCAAAGTGCTGGGATTCCAGGCGTGAGCCACTGCACCTGGCCAGACCCTCAAGTTCTTGATGCACAGAGAACAGCAGCATTGGTAAAGTGCGATTTCTGTGTTTTTGTCTCTCCACTGATAGTTAGCAAACATTAGGGTGGGGACTGGACTGCTTGTGTGGGGCCCATGGGCTTAGTGGGAGCACAGCGTTAGCAGAGAAGGGGACTGGGCCCTACTGCGGGGAACAGTTTTGCCTGGAATGCTGTGAGCATGGGCTTCTTGGTGGGAGCACAGGGTGGGCGGAGAAGGGGACTGGGGCCGCACTGTGGGGAGCAGTTTTGCCTGGGATGCTGTGAGTTTCTCAGATGGAAACTTAAGTAGACAGACTATTCTGGCAGAGAGCCATGCTTGGCCGGCCACGTGTGAGCTGGGAGACGCTTGTGCTTGAACTCAAGGTCCACCTCCACGTTGGTGGGAGATGAGTGGCCCCGTCTGCCCACGCCCGAGCCCGCGTGCTGCTGGTTGCTGGTCATTGATCCTGGGGGTGGTTTCTTGAGCGTCAGCTCCTTGCCACATGAGTGAATTTGCTGGTGACCGCAGAGTCTATGTAGCAGGTGCTATAGCAGTGTCCCCAGCCAGGGAGGCCCTGGTGCAGCAGCAGCCTTCAGGGTGGAAGGGAGAGGGCGAGGGAGTCTAGTGAGGTGGGGTGTGAGATCAAGACCTGCACCCTGGCCTCCACAGGGATTGGCTCGGGCAGGGCGGCCTGAGGCCCCGGTGTTCCAGCCTTTTGTTCTGCCACCCTGCAGCGCCCTTTGTTCTTAGATTTTCACCTAAGCCAGGTGGCTGCTCCACCCCCAGCCAGGGCCCCTCGGGAAATGGGCATAAAGTCTCCTACCTCCCTGGCTTAGGGCCTGTCCTGTCCTAGCTCCAGGGAGGCTGCAGCTCATGGAGGCTTTGCTCCCAGCTCCTTGTCACCCCATGCTAAGCAGTGGGCGTGTGCTGCTGAAAAGGAGAAAGGAGATGGTGTCTTTGTGGAGATCTGGTACCGTCAGTGGCCAGAGGAGTGGAGGAGCCCTTTGTTACTATGGGAACTGGAGGAGGGGCCAGCCTCCCCACTGATGTCTGTCGTGCCCTGGAGGCAGCTATCCTGGTGCACCGAGGGGTCAGGGTGCTTGGGAGCGTCCAGGTGGCACTGAGCGGGTGGTGTGATTGGCAGACAAGGAACCCTGGGTACATAGACACAGAGTAGGGGGAGGGAACGAGAGCGGACAGCCGCAGGAGCCCTGGTGTTGCTACCACTGGGGAGCACCAGTTCCCAGGTGTGGGGAGGCCGAGATTCAGGCACCTCTGAGCACTGCTGGGTAAGTGAACCAGGAGCTGGCACAAAGGCCAGCGTGAGGGCCCGGGAGAGGTCTCGGCCAGGGAGGGGGCGGCGTGCGGCCCTCAGTGTAAACAGAATATATCTGGTGTAGCACACATACAATTATGTAAACGTAGAAGGAGATTATGGGTGAGGTGGGAACCCCAGCTTCCTGGGGGAGAAAGAAGCGAGAGGAGGAAGGGTCCCGGGTTGGGCAGCACGGCCCACACCACACATGCTGGAAGCGAGGTTGGAAGACTCTGTGGGCGACCTTTCAGAGGCACAGCCGCCCCCCCAAAGTAGGAAGAGAAACCCAGGTGTGAGAAGCAGGAAATGGGCTGCCTGAGCGCTGTGTTGAGACCTGAGGGAGGTGGCGCCTGCGCAGACCCTGAGCTGGAAGGAAGATGCCCTCTGGTGCTCAGGAGGAAGCGTCTGTTCTGACCTGGCTGGAGCTCGTGGGAAAGGAAGGGGGGTGTCTCGCTTGAGAAGCCGCAGTCACCTGAACGTGAGGCAGGTGTGAGTGTGGTTTTATGCCACAGGGTCTGTCTAGAAAGTAGCACAGAATTAGTCCTGGGGCACACGGCAGAGGCAGCCACAGCACCCCTCACAAAGGCAGCTGCCAGCCAGGGCTTGAAGGGCCTCCAGCCCCAGGTCTGCCAGGAAGACGGTCAACTATGCCAGGAGACTGTCTCCCAAGAGCAAGGATCCGCCAGCACGAAGAGAATACAGGACTCCATTGCTAAAAATCTCTGGGCAGTGAATGATTGCAGTTTTTTTTTTTTTGAGACGGAGTCTTGCTCTGTCACCAGACTGGAGTGCAATGGCGAAATCTCAGCTCACCGCAGCCTCCGCCTCCTTTGGTTCAAGTGATTCTTTTGCCTCAGCCTGCCGAGTATCTGGGACCACAGGCGCATGCCACCATGCCTGGCTAATTTTTGTATTTTTAGTAGAGACGGGGATTCACCATGTTGGCCAGAATGGTCTCGATCTCTTGACCTCGTGATCCGCCCACCTCGCCTCCCAAAGTGCTGGGATTACAGGCGTGAGCCACCATGCCCAACTGAACAATTGCATTTTTTAAGTGATTTTCAGTTGGTGGTTAAAATGTCCTTTGAGGACATTAAATGATCAAAACAGGTAATGTGTTTCCTTTTCTTAGCGTTGTAGCATCTGCTTCTGTGCTTTGCTGGGGAGAGGCCCTGGTGGCCTCGTTCCTGCCACCCGGAGTCCCTGGGCGGTCTCGGTGGCCCATGCGGCCCAGCTCGGAGGCAGAGTCATCCTTTGTGCCGGTGGTTCCAGCATGTCGCCCTCAGTGAAGACCCTAGCACTGGGAGAGCTTGTTCCTGGCTCCGAGGAGAAGCCGAAGGGCAGGTGGCCTCTCAGCTGGGGATCTCTTTTTGGTCACCGAAGTGAGAAGATCGTTTTTGCCAAGAGTGACGGGGGCGCAGATGAGAATGTACTGACCGTCACCATCACGGAGACCACAGTCATCGAGTCTGACCTGGGCGTGTGGAGCTCGCGGGCGCTGCTCTACCTCACGCTGTGGTTCTTCTTCAGCTTCTGCACGCTCTTCCTCAACAAGTACATCCTGTCTCTGCTGGGAGGTGAACCCAGCATGCTCGGTATGTGGTGGCCCGAGGGAGCGGGGGCAGCTGGGGGAGTGGCCAGCAGCCACATGGGAGGGCGGGGTGGGGGCGGGGTAGCCCTGTTGGGATGGGACCCCAGCCTCTCCCAGGTGAGCCCGTAGATGGGGAATGTGCCTGCACTGGGAGGGCTGATTCCCCCTCAGCTCTGACCACCTCCCTTCTGCAGGCACGGTGCAGATGCTGTCCACCACAGTCATCGGGTGTGTGAAGACCCTCGTTCCTTGCTGTTTACATCAGCACAAGGCGCGGCTTTCTTACCCACCCAACTTCCTCATGACCATGCTGTTTGTGGGTCTGATGAGGTAGAGCATGGCTTGTTTGTGGTTGACTGTCTCTTTCAGTGTAAAATCCCTCTCCAGTTCCTAGAGTGGGGAATGCTGCGGGCCGCTGAGTTTTCAGTGCGGACTTTGTAAAAGTGTCAGGCTGTCGAGATACCAGATGAGTGTGGCTTCGTGGATCTCACTGCCACGTGTGTTTGTCAGCTTCTTTCCAGGCTGGCCTCAGGGCAGGGCTCCTCCTCCTCTCTGGGGTGTTTATAAGGGGTGGTGGAAGTCACTTCACACCAGGCGCAGTGCCATTTCCTAGGGGGTCGACCTAATGCAAGGCAGAAGTGGGTCCAAGGACCACATTGGTGACGAGGTGGGCGGGGTGGGGGCTGAAGGTACCCACCGGCCGAGCAGGCCCTTCGGAGAGCCTGCGGTTGTAAGTAGACGGACTTGCTCTAATCTAATGGTGCTTTTTCCTTATTTTTAGGTTTGCAACTGTGGTTTTGGGCTTGGTCAGCCTGAAAAATGTGGCGGTTTCGTTTGCTGAGACGGTGAAGAGCTCGGCCCCCATCTTCACAGTGATCATGTCTCGGATGATTCTGGGGGAGTATACAGGTGAGGGCCCCGGGCCCCACCCCCACCTGCACCCCACCGCCTGCCTGCACCTGTGCCTTGCCATCCAGGGCCTCCATCCGAAGTGCCCTTCTTTGCCGTCTCCCATGGGGCTCTGGGCAGGAGGCCACTTGGAGCGGTGCTTACACTGGCAGTGCCTTCATTTCTCTCCTGAAACATTTTCCACCCGGTCCCATGCTTGGGGGTGTCATGGAACCTGCCACCCACAAGGTGCTCTCATGCAGGCATTCGGAGGTTAGGGCAGGGTTGTGCCTTGTGACCCTAACTGGGTGGGGAGACAGGTGGGGACTGGGCAGATTCATGGCAAGCAAGATCAGTGAAGGTGCCAGGCACTGGCCTGAGGAGGATGAGCGGAGGCTGCCTTTGGCTGGTGCTGCGCAGATGGCTATGGCTCCTGGTCTGTGGGCCCACCTGTGCCAGCACCCCATGGCCTCTCCTGGGCCCAGCCCTTGACTTGGCTACAACCTAGGCTCCTGCCTCCCCCACCTTGTCCCTCCTCTCTCGCAAGCGATTTCCAGCATCCGCGTGCTGCATACGCAGTGTAGTGCATGAAATAAACCAGGGGCAGAGGCACCCACAGAGTCAAGCGTCTTGCACGGAGGGGTGGGGGGTAGGTGCGCACAAATGTTCGCTTGTTTAAGAAAACAAGATCTTAAGGCCAAGGCAGGTGTCTACCTTCGGGGGCAGGAGGACAGCCGAGGGTCTGAGGCAGGTGGGGCTGGTCCCACGTATGCTTGAGAACCACACAGTTTAGGTGATTATAATAAAAGGCCAAAAATCAACTCCATCTTTGTTTTTTGGTTTGTTTTTTTGAGACAGCGTCTCGCTGTGTTGCCCAAGCTGGCGTGCAGTGGTGAGATCATGACTCACTGCAGCCTCTGCCTCCCTGGCTCCCACGATCCTCCCGTCTCAGCCTGTTGGGGTAGCTGGGACATCAGGCGTGCGCCACCACGCCCAGCTAATTTTTGTATTGTGTGTGTGTGTGTGATTTTTTTTTTTTTTTACTGTGAATATACTTTAGTCTTTTTTTTTTTTTTTTTTTAACAATTGAAACTTTGAGAATTCAGAATTACCAGTGTTGCCTGTAAGCTTCTTATCGATGCCAGACAAGGTTCCAACCTCACATGAGTTCCAGGCTGCTCTGCTGGGCTTTGTCCAGACGGACCTTTGTGGGGGCTGCTGTCCATTTCATGGGTTCTCCTGCCCCCAGTTTCACTTGGGAAGACCCAAGTCCTCGTGAATTGCATTGTGCGTGGCTCTCAGAGCACAGCTCCTGGCAAGCTTTTGCTTATTTTTTGTACAGCTTTTTTGAGTTGGCTAAGGCAGACTCCTCCTCAAAGCAATGAAGACACAAACATGCTTCCCAGTGACCTTTTCCTCCAATTCAAGTACTAGCCAGACTTGGATTTTCTGGAATGATTTCAGTGGCGGAACAAGAACAGAGATTATGATAGCTTTCGTTTTTTTGAGATGGAGTCTTTATTTAAGCATGGGATATGGGAAGAAAAAAGAAATGGAGTCTCGCTCTGTGGCCCAGGCTGGAGTGCAGTGGCACGATCTCAGCTCACTGCAGCCTCCACCTCCCGGGTTCAAGCGATTCTCCTACCTCAGCCTCATCAGTAGCTGGGATTATAGGTGCCCACCACCACACCTGGCTAATTTTTGTATTTTTTACTAGAGATGGAGTTTCACCATGTTGGCCGGGCTGGTCTCAAACTCCTGACCTCAGGTGATCCACCTGCCTCTGCCTCCTAAAGTGCTGGGATTACAGGCGTGAGCCACCGTGCCTGGCTTTAAAAAGCAATCCTAAAAATCATGTACAGAATGACACAGAGGAACCTTACTGCCCTTCGAGCCAGGCAGAAAGGAGCTGTTTATTTCCAGCAACTTTAACTTGTCAATTCAACCTCCAACCATGGTGGATGAGATGTTAGAAAACCAACTCTTGCTGACAACAGTGAGAAAATCTTGATATCATTTAGCAAAACGAAATCCTCAGGGGATGCATTAGAGAGCAATGGAGGTGCCAGGACCTGAGGCACACAGCTTCCAGAGCCTCAGGTAGCCCTGGGAGGTGACCCGTATTGAGCACCACCCTCCCCTGTCCCCAGTGCATTCGCTGATTGTTTCTGAGCAGAGCAGTCTCCTGGAGCTAGAGGGGCACCAGCTGGAATGGGCGTGCACCAAGGGGACCCCCAGACTCCAGACCTTTGGTGGGGATGGGAATCTGGTGCCGGAGGGAGGCGTCTCTGACACCCCAGCTGCACATCTGCAGCAGAACCGAGTCCTCCCTGAAGGGTGAAACGGCATTCACAGTTGCAAGTTCTCTCTGATTGTCATAAGCGTTTTCCGTGATTCGACCAGAGTTTCTGGCAGAGGATGAGACCAGGTGATGGCAAACGAGAGGACGTTCCTGGGGCTGGAGCCGTCCACATGGGCCCAGGTCCCTCCGCTACGCCAGGGTCTTGGCCAGGCCACATCTGTGGGCTTCCCGCCTTCACTTGTCTCAGAGGTTTCTGTTTCTTTTGAGGCAAGGTCTTGCTCGGTCACCCAGGCTGGAGTGCAGTGGTGTGATCACAGCTCACTGCAGCCTTGACCTCCCCCACGCAGGTGATTCTCCCACCTCAGCCTCCCTGGGAGCTGGGAGCACAGGCCATGTGCCACCACACCAGCTAATTTCTGTATTGTTTGTAGAGGTGGGGCCTCACTGTGTTGCTTAGCCCTGTTCTTCAACCCCTGGGCTTAAGTGATCCTCCTGCCTAAGCCTCCACACGTGTGAGCCATGTTTCATGGATTTTTTTAAAAATCCTTCACGTAAAAGTGTTCTGTTCCATTTCGGAAGGAAACAGGAATAAGCTCATCGTGGGTGCATGTGGAGGCTTTGGGTTTCACCCCCAGCCCCCCTTTCTTGTGCACTGCCCATGGGGACATATAAGTCTCCTTCACACACGAGCATTCACAGAACCGGGAAGGATTCCGTGGTTTGTCCACCCGTGACTGGGGCCCAGCCTCTCCTAGACGGTCTCGTGCAGCGTGAAGGCACCACTTTTGCGGGGGACATGGACTTCCATCTGCTTTATCTTCCAGTGTGAAGAACCTGACAAGTACTGTTTTTGGTTGTTGTTGTTGTTGTTTTTTTTTTTAAAGATGGGGTTTCACCATGTTGGTCAGGCTGGTCTTGAACTCCTGACCTCAGGTGATCCACCCACCTTGGCCTCCAAAGTGCTTGGATTACAGGTGTGAGCCACTACGCCCCACCAACAAGTATTGTTTTTGAATGGAGCATCTGTTCCTTTCCTAAGAGGGGAAGGGAACAGCCTGGCTCTTAGGAGGGAGCTTCCGCCGCTCACGGGTGATGTCCTCTCTCCAGGGCTGCTGGTCAACCTGTCCCTCATCCCGGTCATGGGCGGGCTAGCGCTTTGCACGGCCACTGAGATCAGCTTCAACGTCCTAGGGTTCTCGGCCGCACTGTCCACCAACATCGTGGACTGGTGAGTCACAGAGTGTGGGCGAGGGGGGTGAGAGCCAGTTCGCTTGCGTGCACTGTGGTGTGCAGATGTGTAAATGCAGATGAGCTGAGAATTTCTCCTGTCAGTCAAAGCTGGTCCATTCAATTCTGCCTTTTCCTACAGTCCTTGTAAGGTAATTTTTTCTGAGAAACAAGCCAAAATTTCAGGATGCACGGCCTTGATACTTAAAATGCCAACCATGGAGACACAGCTGATAAACGCTGAAAGGCCGGCGTGCACTCAGCACTGTGTCTCGCTTGGTGTGGCTGCCTGTGTCTTCACGTAGCCGCTTACGGCCAGAGCAAGCATGATCCCTGTGGCAAGTGCTCCCCATTTGGGAGCTGTGTGGCCTCCAGGTCAGGCGGATCGTCTGCTTCCTTGGTGGCCGTCTGAGTCCTGGTGTCATGATAGGATGAGAGGCTGACTCCCATGGTGAGGATGGCGTGTGGCAGGGTCCCAGCGGAGAGGGCCGTGTTACTTGCGTCCTGGTCACACAGCAGAGAAGAGGACTGGATGCGCACTTTGGGGGCTATTCAGATTCATTCAGAATTGAGCATCTGAGTCTCTGCAATGCTGTTAATAGCCACACTGCAGCCCTGGCAAAACCTGCCCTTTAAGAATGACCGACTGCTCCTGGGTTTCTCCTGCTCCCGGGCTTCTCCTCCTCCCGGGCTTCTCCTGCTTTTGAGAAAAGAAATACCCCACCAACAGTGTCTGAGAGTTTATCATTATTATTACTAATAAGCAAAGCAAGTTCTTGGGGAGATTTTGAATAACGTAGCTAAGTAAAAATAATAATTTGCTGGGCGTCGTTGCTCACACCTATACTCTCAGCACTTTGGGAGGCTGAGGCAGGCGGATCACCTGAGGTCAGGAGTTCGAGACCAGTCTGGTCAACATGGTGAAACTCCATCTCTACTAAAAGTTGGGCATTGTGGTGGGCACCTGTAGTCCCAGCTACTTGAGAGGTTGGGGAGGAGAATTGCCTGAACCTGGGAGGTGGAGTTGCAGTGAGCCGAGATCGCGCCACTGCACTCCAGCTGGGGCAACAGAGCGAGACTCCATCTCCAAAAAAAAAAGTAAAAATCATAAAAAATCATTTCATTTTTAACATCTCAATGCCTTTCCCCCCAGTGTTTCCCCTCTGTGTGGGTGGTTCTTGGGAGCACGGCATGGGTTCTGTCCCCGTCCCATCTGTGCCATTCCGTGTGCCTCGTGTCCTTCACTCTCCGCAAGCCTGGTTTCTGTGACGGCTTCGCGCACGTGTGCCATGACCTCACGATTCTCCTGTTACCAAACTGCCTCTGGCTCTTTGTATTGATAGGTAAATCTCCAGGGAACATCTTTTTCCAGAATCTGTGTAAATGCGTGAGTATCCTGTAGGGCAGATTCCAAGAAGGCCACGCAACAGAGCCCTTGAACTTTGCTAAAAGGCCCTTGCTCTCTTGTCAGATTGTGGAATGGGGCCTGATTTACGGTCCTGCCCACAGCAGTGCCCCACTGACCTTGCCCTCAACTGTTTTTCTACTGGAGGCCAGCACGGTGGTTCATGCCCATAATCCCAGCAGTGTGGGAGGCCAAGGAGGGCAGATCACCTGAGGTCAGGAGTTTGAGACCAGCCTGGACAACACAGCAAGATCCTGTCTCTAGTATTATTATTATTATTATTATTTTTTTTGAGACTGTGTGTCATTCTGTAGCCCAGGATGGAATGCAGTGGCATGATCTCTGCTCATTGCAGCCTCTGCCTACCAGGCTCAAGCGATTATCCTGCCTCAGTCTCCCAAGTAGCTGAGAGTAAAGGCATGTGCTACCATGCCTAGCTAATGCCTGCCATGAAGCCCAGCTAATTTTTGTATTTTTAGTAGAGACAGGGTTTCACTATGTTGGCCAGGCTGGTCTTGAACTCCTGACCTCAGGTGATCCACCTGCCTCAGCCTCCAAAGTCCTGGGATTACAGGCATGAGCCACCTTACCCAGCCCTCTTATTTTATTATTATTATTTTTTGAGATAGAGTCTTGCTCTGTCACCAGGCTGGAATGCAGTGACACAATCTCGGCTCACTGCAACCTCTACCTCCTAGGTTCATGTGATTCTTTTACCTCAGCCTCCCAAGTAGCTGGGACCACAAGTGTGTGACACCACGCTGGGCTAATTTTTGTATTTTTAGTGGAGATAGGGTTTCACCATGTTGGCCAGGATGGTCTTGATCTCTTGACCTCGTGATCCGCCCACCTCGGCCTCCCAAAGTGCTGGGATTACAGGCGTGAGCCATCGCGCCCAGACTATTATTTTATTAAAAAATAAAAATAAATTTAAAAAGTAAGCTTTTCCACTTGAAAAATTAGCTGGGCACGTTGGCACGTACCTGTAGTCCCAGCTACTTGGGAGGTTGAGGTGGGAGGATCAGTTGAGCCCAGGAGGAGGAGGCTGCATGAGCAGTCATCACACTTGCGCACTCCAGCCTGGGGAACAGAGCAAGACCCCACCTCTAACATGAATAAGCTAATTAATTACAATGTCTCTGAAAAGGCTTACCCCGCCTCCGTTTCAAGTCCACAGGGCAGCGTGTTGCCATCTGGGCTCTGGTCTGGCCCTCGTGTACCTGGATGTCTTGTCTTCACAGCCATCTGTTTTCCCTGTGGTTTGTGTGTCCTGATTTTGAGCCTTTTGCATATTTTTCTGCTGGGGTCTTCATCTTTTTTTCAGCCACGCACATGCCTTGAGAATCCCCAAGTGCCTGGCTGTGGCAGCTGCTAATTTACAGGAGCTCTTTATTCAAAAGAGGGTTCAGTGAAGTGCTGGCAGGCAGGGCCTTTGGGGTCCTCTGACAGCTAAGTGATGGGTAGCCTCAGGCAAGTCACTTACTCTCTGAATGCCTCGGTTTACCCGCCTCTACGGGGTATACCACCCTGTGTGCTCTGCCTGGACACCCCCGGCCAAGCGCTGGCTCAGCAGTTCAGCAGCCGCCCACTGAGGTCAGGCTGTCCCTCCGCTCGTGTGAACGCAGACACCTCATCCCCCGATGCTCTGTGCCAAGGGCTAGTGTTGATGCTTACTCTCTTCTTTTCTTTATTCTAGTTTGCAAAATGTTTTTTCAAAAAAGCTTCTCAGCGGGGACAAATACAGGTTCTCGTAAGTATTACTCATCACTGAAATCTCCAAGTCATAGACAAAGAGGACTTCCTGCTCACTTTAAGAGTCAGGACCCCCACAGACCTGACTCCCTTCCGCTCTAAGCTCCGGAGGGACCCACCTGGTTCACAGCTGCTCCCTGCAGCCCCTCAGCCAGCCTGGTGCTTGTTTGTCTTTTCGTTTCTGGGAAGCTGCAGTGGCCCTTGTCAGCTTGGGAGAGAGTGAACGTGTCGTGGGCTGGGTTGCTCAGGTGTGGTCTTGCTATGAGGGAACTTGGCCTCTCCGGATGCAGTGGGCATGTTCTCTTGCCACCAGTCCAGACGTGGTGGGGGCCCAGCGTGTTGTGTTGCCTGTGGTCTGGACGTGGCAGGACAGTGTGTTGTCACCCACAGGGCCCCGGAGCTGCAGTTCTACACCAGCGCCGCCGCGGTGGCCATGCTCGTCCCGGCCCGGGTCTTCCTCACGGTGGGTTTCAGAAACAGGCTGCCGTCCTTGCACGCCCGGCTGCCTTATCTGGCGATTGAGGAATAGACTGAATTCCCTTTCCAGGCTGTGTGCTGGGTGGTCGCGCCCAGCTCCGCGGTGGGCCCTGCTTAGCTGAGTTGCCCAGGGAGTTAGCTGCCCAGGTTTTTGTGTGTTGTTTGTTTTGATTCTTCATGATTCAACTTGAGATGACTTTTAGGTCAGCTTAATTTCTTTTTTTCTTAGAAAAACGTTTTTTTTTTAAATAGAGTCTGTTTTTGTCTCCCAGGCTGGAGTGCAAAGGTGCAGTCTCTGCTCACTGCAGCCTCCACCTCCCAGGCTCAAGCTATTCTCCTGTCTTAATCTCCCAAGTAGCTGGGATTACAGGCATGCACCACCATGCCCGGCTAATTTTTTGTGTTTTTAGTAGACACGGGGTTTCGCCATGTTGGCCAGGCTGGTCTCAAACTCTTGGCCTCAGGTGATCCGCCCGCCTGGGCCTCCCAAGATGCTGAGATTCCAGGTGTGAGCCACAGCACCCGGCTTCTCTAGATTGGAAACATCCTGTGCCCACTGTTGAATGGCCAGCAGATCAGACGTCAGCAAAGCAGAACCTCGAGTCAGCTCATCTGTCGATCTGAACACGCATCCGTCCACACGCGGCATGGAGCTTTAGCCGAGGTGTGCGTGTGCGTCTCGCAGACCTTGTTTTTCTCCACACCAGGGCACCTGGCCCTGGCTGCAGGAGTACATGTGGAGTGTACCCCTGCCCCTGCTGCGGCTGTCCCCTCCCTATGGACAGACATCGACTTGATTTCCCTTTTCACTGCTGGCCACAAAATGAAGAGCTTCCTCTGTCCTTTTGCAGATGAGGGTATTTCTCTGGCGTATGTTCTTGGGATTGGAATGGTTCACTGAAGGACTCTATATGTTTAAATATTCTTATGGCAGTGAAACATATAATGGATCATTTTAACTTTTTTTTTGAGACGGAGTCTCACTTTGTCACCCAGGCTGGAGTGCAGTGGCATGATCTCGGCTCACTGCAACCTCTGCCTCCTGGATTCAAGCAATTCTCCTGCCTCAGCCTTCAGAGTAGCTGGGAATACAGGTGCACACCACCATGCTCGGCTAATTTTTTGTATTTTTAGTAGAGATGGGTTTTACTGTGTTGGCCAGACTGGTCTCGAATTCCTGGCCTCTTGATCCGCCCACCTCAGCCTCCCAAAGTGCTGGGATAACAGGTGTGAGCCTCCGCACCTGGCTGCCAACTCTTTTGCACTGTAAGCTGAGTAACGCGAAGTGTGTTGATGCTGCGTGTGGCCATCACTGCCCCCCATCTCTAGAACTCTTTTCATTTTGCAAACTGAATTACTATCATTAAATATTCCCCACTCCCACCCCCCAGCCCCGGCACCCCCATTCCACCTTCTGTCTCTGAGGTTGACGACTCCACGGACATCAGAGAAGCAGAATCGGATCTGTCCCGGGTCTGGCTTGTTTCATGTAGCATGCGTTTTCGAGGTTTATGCATGTTGTAACATGTATCAGAGTTTCCTTCCTTTTTATCTTGTTTACGTATTTCTTTTTTTGAGACAGAGTCTCGCTCTGTCACCCAGTCTGGAGTGCAAGTGGTGCGATCTCAGCTCACTGCAACCTCCGCCTCACGGGTTCAAGCGATTCTCCTGCCTCAGCCTCCCGAGTGGCTGGGATTACAAGTGCCGCCACCACGCCCAGCTAATGTTTTTGTACTTTAGTAGAGGTGGAGTTTTACCATGTTAGCCGGGATGGTCTCAGTCTACTGACTTCATGATCTGCCTACCTCAGCCTTGCAGAGTGTTGGGATTACAGGCGTGAGCCACAGTGCCCAGCCAGAGTTTTTCATTTTCTGTATCAACAGGGTCTTACTGTATTGCCCAGGCTGGTCTCAAACTCCTGGGCGCAAGCAGTCTTTTGTCTTCGGCTTCTCAACGGTGGCTCACTCCTGGGATTATAGGTGTGAGCCCCTGTGTTCAGCCTTCTTTCCTTTTTAAGGCTGAGTAAATACTCCATTGTGTGGGTGAGACCACATTATTTTCTTCATCCATCCATTGTGGGTTCTTTCTGCCTTTGGCTATTTGAATAATTCTGTAGTCAACATGGGTATGCAAATATCCCTTTGAGACCCTGCTTTCAATTCTGTTTTTTAGTATCACTTTTAATAATAGGTACCTCTGTATTAACTCATGAAATAACCAGACCTAGGGCTGGGCGTGGTGCTGGCACCTGTAATCCCAGCACTTTGGGAGGCCGAGGCAGCCAGATCACCTGAGGTCAGGAGTTAGAGACCAGTCTGGCCAACATGAAGAAACCTCATCTCTATTAAAAATACAAAAAGTAGCCGGGTGTGGTGGCGGGCACCTGTAATCCCAGGTGCTTGGGAGGCTGAGGCAGGAGATTTGCTGGAAACCGAAAGGCAGAGGTTGCAGTGAGCTGAGATCGCACCATTGCACTCCAGCCTGGATAACAAGAGCGAAACTCAGTCTCTAAACAATTAAAATTTGTAGAAATAATAACCAGGTCTAGCAGTAAGCCTAATATCTGTGGTAATTTGATGCAGTGATGAGGGCAGACATTATTTCAAGGTATCAGGAGCAACTGCTAACAAGATATGAAAGTATATATATGTAGATTTTTGGTTTTTTTTCTCTCTTGAGACGGAATTTCACTCTTGTTGCCCAAGCCTGTGTGCAATGGTTTGATCTCGGCTCACTGCAACCTCCGCCTCCTGAGTTGAAGGGATTCTCCTGCCTCAGCCTCCCAACTAGCACCAACAGGTGCACGCACCACCCCCAGCTAACTTGTGTTATTTTTAGTAGAGACGGGGTTCCACCATGTTGGTCCAGCTCATGACCTCTGTCATTTGCCCACCTTGGCCTCCCACGGTGCTGTGATTGCAGGCGTGAGCCCCGCACTGTGGTTTCTGTTTGCGTTTTCCTGTGACCGGTGACGTTCAGCCACTTTCATGTGCTTGTTGGCCATTTACATCCACATGTTGAAAACTGATCGTGCAAAAAATAAAAACAGAAAAAAAATGAAAATGGGTGAGCGGGAAGTTCAGTTGTCCCCTGGAGGCATTTCCAGAGCTGCCCTCAGTGCCGGCAGCTCTGCACGGTGACCGCGAGGGAGTGACGCTGGTGTTCGTGGTGGATGATTAGTACACGGAAAATGCACCCCAGTAGAGCGTCCTTTTGTTTTCCACATAGGATGTCCCGGTGATTGGGAGGAGTGGGAAGAGCTTCAGCTACAACCAGGATGTCGTGCTGCTGCTTCTGACAGATGGAGTCCTATTCCACCTCCAGAGTGTCACTGCCTACGCCCTTATGGGGAAAATCTCCCCTGTGACGTTCAGGTGCGCCGAGGAACTTGCCGGGAGGTTGGGGTGTAATACTGGGGTTCAGGGTGCCCTCAGCTCCCCTGAGAGGACATTTCTCCAGATTCCTGGTCTCCTGCCCTCTGAAGAATGAGAGGGGACCATGGCGCAGTGCGCAGTAAATGCCAGACTCAAAAGTGTATATGGAAAGTGATTTATTTTAAAGCAGAGAGAGAAAAAGGAGAAAGAGAGAGAAACAGCTAACTCTCACACTGAGTGAGAGAAAGAAAAGCCTCTCTCACTCTGAGTGGGAAGGGTTCCCAGAGGGGAAACCAGAGGAGGAAAGCTCTCACGCTGAGAGAATCCAGAGAGATGGAATCAGGAGACGAAAGAGCTTCCACACTGAGTGGAAGGGAATAGAGAGATGGAGACTAGGAGGGAAGGCAGCCTTTCACGAGAGAGTGTGGAAGGAGACTCCAAAGGAGAAATCCAGGAGAGGGAAAGATGGCTTCCACGAAGGGAGTGTTGGTGGAAGGGGACCCAAACATGGAGGCCAAAGGGGTGTGGAAGAAGGGTACTTGTAACCTTGGAGGAACCCCCACTTTCTCTAAGACACCAGGCCAATGAAAGGAGTTTCTCACAACTTCCGCTGGAGTGACTGACTCTTAGTTTCTTCCCACACCAGCGAAATTCAAACATAAACCATTAAGTCTTCCGGACTGAGAGAGATGGGAGGGGCGTGGCACTGGGAAGTTCTTGACCTTAAAACTACGTCCTCTGGCCAACCTGGAAAGGGAGAACATTCCCTCAAGTGTGTCCAGGTATTTTTATAAGGGACACGTGATTTTCTGCAGGGATGACTGTGGCTGTGTGCTGTAATTACTAGGCCTTTTCATACCCATCCTGTTTGAAATGCAAATGATAGACTGGGCCCAGTGGCTCATGCCTGAAATACCAACACTTTGGGAGGCCGAGACAGGCGGATCGCTTGAGGTCAGGAGTTCGAGACCAGCCTGGCCAAAGTGGTGAAACCCCCGTCTCTACTAAAAATACAAAAATTAGCCGGATGTGGTGGCGGGCTCCTCTAACCCCAGCTACTCGGGAGGCTGAGGCAAGAGAGTCACTTGAACCTGGAAGGCAGAGGTTGCAGTGAGCAGAGATCACACCACTGCACTTCAGCCTGCATGATGGGAATGAGACTCCATCTCAAAGGAAAAAAAAGAAAGAAATGGTAAACTGTGAAGTAAACTGTAAACTGTGTGAAACAGGTTTTTAGGGAAATCCCCACTAGAAGTAGTTGCATTTGAAGATTTTTGAAATGGAGTACTTTTCTGTCTAGAATAGCATGGCGTTCACTAGTCTTATCTGCAGGAATGGAATGGTCTCTTCTGGGCTGTCCAGTACAGAAGCCACTCTGCATACGGCTTCTGTGCACCTCAAATGTGGAGAATGTAACAGGAACCAAATTCTTAATTCTAGCTGAGGGTTGTAGTTTGAGCTTGAATAGATGCCTATAGCCACTGGCTCCCGTTTCACAGAGTGCAGCTGTACAAACTCGAGGGCATGGAGCCTTTGGCTTCTTTCCACTTCTGACTGGACAGATTGAAGGTGTGATTTTTAAAAATTAATTGTTTTATTTTCTATTTTTTCCTGAGATGGAGTCTTTTTTTTTTTTTTTTTTTTTTGAGACGGAGTTTTGCTCTTGTTACCAGGCTGGAGTGCAATGGGGCGATCTCGGCTCACCGCAACTTCCACCTCCTGGTTCAGGCAATTCTCCTGCCTCAGCCTCCTGAGTAGCTGGGATTACAGGCACGCGCCACCATGCCCAGCTAATTTTTTGTATTTTTAGTAGAGACGGGGTTTCACCATGTTGAGCAGGATGGTCTCTATCTCTTGACCTTGTGATCCATCTGCTTCGGCCTCCCAAAGTGCTGGGATTACAGGCGTGAGCCACCGCGCCTGGACTGAGATGGAGTCTTGCTCTGTCGCCCAGAGCTGGAGTGCAATGGCGTGATCTTGTCTCACTGGCAACGTCTACCTTCCAGGTTCAGGAGATTCTCCCGCCTAAGCCTTCCAAGTAGCTGGGAGTACAGGTGCAGTGGCTCACACCTATAATCCCAGCACTTTGGGAGGCTGAGGCGGGCAGATCGGCTGAACTCAGGGGTTTAAGACCACGCTGGGCAACATGGTGAAACCCTGTCTTCACTAAAATACAAAAAAATTAGCTGGGCTTGGTGGCGGGCACCTATAGTCCCAGCTGCTTGGGAGGCTGAGGCGAGAAAATCGCTTGAACACATGAGGCGGAGGTTGCAGTGAGCCAAGATCATGCCACTGCACTCCAGCCTGGGCTACAGAGTGAGACTCCATCTCAAAAAAATAATAAGGCTGGAGACCTTTTGGTAGCAAATAAAAAGGAATTAGCTTATGTCACCAGCAGGTGTAGAAATTCACACAGCTGGTATCAGCAGCTGCCCCTTCATATCCTATTGTGGAAGTCAGTGGACCTTTTTTCTGAAACTTCTGATCTGTCATGAGGAGGCAGAATTGTCCCCAAATGTAAAAGGAAAAGTAGACGTCAGGGCTGGTTGGGGCGGGGTGGGGGGGCACTCAGGTGTGACTCTCCCTCTTCTCTGCTTTTCATCTGGTCCAAGTCAGTGCGGTAAATTCACAGATACCCTCCGAGGTGGTAGCTGTGCGCGGTGCATGCAGTGTTCCTCAGCTGAGGAGCTTGCCCCTCCTCACCGGCAGGTTGCCTCATCCATGGCACTGCCTCGCCAAATGCTTCCTGAGTCCTGAGCAGGACGCATCTCAGCGATAGGAAGAATGGCTGTGCTTTCTGAGTTTTTCTGGAACTCATGGTGGTCTCCTAGGTTTGGTCACTGTCTTTCACCAGCTTGTTTCTTTTGGGGGTCAGGAATTATTTCCAAATGCTCCTGAAACCTGGTGTTTTAATGAATATTAGTGATTGTTAGCGATGGTTCAAAAAAAGAAAACTTTATTTTTATTTTTTTAATTTTTTGAGCTAGGGTCTTGCTCTGATATCTAAACTGGAATGCGGTGGTACCATCTCAGCTCACTGCAACCTCTGCCTCCTGGCCAAGTGATCCTCCCGCCTCAGCCTCCTGCGTAGCTTGGATAACAGAGGTCTGCCACCACACCAGGCTAATTCTTACAATTCTTTCTTTGAGAGGTGGGATCTTGCTGTGTTGTCCAGGCTGGTCTTGAACTCCTGGCCTCCAGTGATTCACCCACCTTTGGCCTCCCAAAGTGCTGGGACTACAGGTATGAGCCACCACACCCAGCCCAATTATTTTTCAGTAGTATTTTTTTGTTTTATCTAAGTTCATATTGTAAGAGCCACAAGTGCTCATTATGGAAAGTCTGCAAAGGGTATTTCACGGCTCCTTTATTTTTGCACAGCCCTAACATTTCATATGTGGTGCCCTTTTTCACCTAACTGGTGATCTCAGGGGATTGTTGTTCCCGGGGCTGCAAAGGCGCTGCGGGTGTGTGGCAGATGTTCTTGTTCTTTAGAGAGCAGGCTGCAGTACTCAGGGTGAAATGTCACAATAACTTTGATTTTCTTGCCCTTTAGAGAGCAGGCTGCAGCCCTCGGGGGTGAAATGTCACGATATCTTTTGCTTTTCTTTTTTCGTTTTTTGAGAGAGTCTCGCTCTGTAGTTCAGGCTGGAGTGTAGTGGCAAGATCTCGGCTCACTGCAACCTCTACCTCCCAGGTTCAAGCAGTTCCTCTGACATAGTCTCCCGAGTAGCTGGGACTACAGGTGCGTGCTACCACACCCAGCTAATTTTTTTGTATTTTTAGTAGTGATGGGGTTTCACTATGTTGGCTAGGCTTGAACTCCTGACCTTGTGATCCACCCTTCTCGACCTCCCAAAGTGCTAGGATTACAGGTGTGAGCCACCACGCTCAGCCAATATCTTATTCTTTAGCAAGCAGGCTGAAGCACTCGGATGAAATGTCACAATATCTGTAAATTACTTAAAAATATTTCATCCGGGTGCAGTGGCTCACACCTGTGATCCCAGCACTGTGGGTGGCCAAGGTGAGAAGTTCCCTTGAGCCCAGGAGTTGATGACCAGCCTGGGCAACATAGTGAGACCTACCTCAATTGGATGAAGCTGAAGAAGCAGATGTCATGGATTCCTGCCTCTAGATCATGGGACTTGGCTATTCCTCAGGTTTCTCTTTATCTGACTTTTTTAGTAATGAAAAGTACCCTGCAAAGAAAAGAAGGGATGAGGGAGCAGGCAAGCCCCCCTCAAAGTTCCGAAACCCCCTGGGCAGAGCTCACCATCACCTGGGTCCCCCGGAGCACCCTGGCCTCTAGACCCAGGCTCAGCCAAACTGCTGGCTGCCGGCCAGGGTAACCCTGACCCTGAGCTCCCCGGCTGCCCCCACCCCCCGTCTCTGCAGTGTCGCCAGCACCGTGAAGCACGCCCTGTCCATTTGGCTCAGTGTGATCGTTTTCGGCAACAAGATCACCAGCCTGTCGGCCATTGGCACAGCCCTGGTGACGGTTGGGGTCCTGCTCTACAACAAGGCCAGGCAGCACCAGCAGGAGGCACTGCAGAGCCTGGCTGCAGCCACTGGCCAGGCGCCTGAGGACCGCGGGGAGCCGCTGCTTATGCAGGACCCCAGGCAGCACCCCTGAGCGGATGCCGCATCCGTGGAAACGGGCAGGAACCCCCTCCTCCATGGCCCTGCTGGGCTGCAGGACATGGGGAGCTGAGTTGGGCATTTACTGCTCCTTTCTCGGTTTTCCTGTTGAGACCAGCAGAAACGCAAATGGGCTTCCAGGTATCACCTTCCTGGAGTGGAGAGCAGAGCCCATGTCAGCCGAGCCCATCGCCGTGTAATGTGAAAACAGCCTCTGCGGCTCCCATGCTGGGCAGAGTGCCCATGTCCTCCGTGGGCAGCACCCCAAGGTCCACTGGGAACCAGAGCTGAGTCCAGTGCCAATGAGAGCTGCTCCCTGCTAGAGCCGAGAGAGCACTCAGCTTCCCACACCAGCCTTCAAAGGCCCTGAGGCCCTGGACTGGCTGCAGACTGGCTCTGGGCATGAGGCCACAGAGCAGGGCTGACAGGAGTGGACAGAAGGGTCTCCTGCTGCCACCACAGGTGCTCAGAACTTCAGCCCACCTGGCTCAAGACTGTCCTAGAGGCATCGCAAGCTCCAGGCTATGATGGCACTCAAGGGCCGTGACCAGGAAGCCTTCCAGTTACTCTGTGAAGAGGGAAATCCTCTACCCCTTCCACACGCTGGGCTGCATGAGACTCCCCTCTGGGGTACCCTGCCCGTCACATTCCACATCCTGGGCTGTGTGAGCCTTACCCCTGTGGCACTGTGCCTTCCTACCTGTGGTGGTTTCCAGCCCTGAGGTTGAGGATAAATGCCTCGTATTTAACTAGGGGAGGAGATGTGTACATTCCTTTTCTTTTTTGGACTCAGTATTAGGCAGGCTGTTCTGAGGTCTCTGTGGGGTGTGCCACAGGACAGCTCCCTCAGAGCCCACTGCTCCCAGTCTGTCTCATCTTCGAGCACCTGTTCATTTCCCCACATGAGCACTCTGGCAGGACATTGCAGTATTGATGGTTTGGGCTGTGTGGCATTTACACAGCCATGCTCCTTGCTGAAATAGGAAGCGCTCACTGAATGTTTCTGGGGCACAGTGTGTGTCAGGTGCCCATCCCCCCAGCCCACTCTCCACAAGGGACAGTAGCCCTGCAACACAGGCCACGGGCCAGCTTGGCCCCTCCTTCCTCCTCAGTGTCACACATCCCAAGGGCGCAGGAGGAGCCATGTGTCAGGCAGAGGCTTCTGACCGTGCCTGAGCTCTTCACCCCTCATCTTGCACCCAGCGTGTTTCTCAGCTGCTGCAGTCTGCTGCCAGCCAGCTCCAGGGCTTGTCAATGGCCCCAGGTCTCACTTCCCTGCCATGCTCCTCAGCTCTTTGGCACCCATGGTCACTTCCCTGCCCGCCTTTTCAGGTCTCTGGCACCCATGGTCACTTCACTGGTTTCCCATTTGGCTTCCCACCTGGAAAATAGAAAAATAGCCCCTCTTGAAGATAAAATCATCCAGAAACAGAGCAATAATGATGACTCATAACTTCTACCTACTCAAAGTCTGCCGTGATGATGGGTCTTTTTAACCCACAAGCAACCTTATTTTTTTGAGGCAGTCTTGCTCTGTTACCCAGGCTGGAGTACAGTGCATGATCTTTGCTCAGTACAGTCTCGACCTCCCAGGCCCAAGCAGTCCTCCCACTCAGTCTCATGTAGCTGGAACCATGGGCATATGCCACTGTGCCTGGCTGCTTTTATTTTTTTGTAGATGGGGATCTCACTGTGTTGCCCAGGCTGGTCTCGAACTCCTGAGCTCAAGCAGTGTTTCCGACTCAGCCTCCCGTAGTGTTGGGAATACAGACATGAACCACTGCACCTGCCTCTGGCCACTTTTATAAAACCACTGCACCGTGAACACATTTTTCTCATGATTTTTCCTGGGTTTCCCTTTCTCTTTTCTCTTTCCTCAAAAGCTAATGGAAAGAAAATGCCCTGGAGGTGGCATGGGTGGGGGTTGGTGATCTGTGAGCACCAGAATTGAAAGCAACCCCCAGGGTGGCCCTGTCCACCTCCCCGTGGAGAATGTGGCTACCAGGTTTCCCACTGGCTTCTTTGAATACTGGTCTGGTGTAAGGAGAGGTGCAGATGCCTGGTTCTGAGCACCTTTGGAATTTCTGGTGCACATCCTGTGGTGCCTTCCCTTCCACCCTCACAAGGAGCTTCCAGCCTGTTTTGATTTTCTGTTTGTGGACCAGATAATGTTTTTCCAAATGATTAACAAATAGGGTGATTTCCTGTGTAATGCTGCTCTGGAGCCCGTGCAGTGGCCAGTGCTGTGCCCTTACCCAGGCACACCATCCCCTCCCCTGCCCCCTCCCTCAGTCACCTCTCCACTCCCAAGTCAGTTTCCAGTCACCAGTCTTCAAAGCATTCCCAGAACAGCCCAGCACCAGAGGCAAAACCCAAGGCCTGGCTGGGCCATGTTAATGACTATACAGACACATTTTTTAAATCACTTTGTCTAATACTCTTATAGAATAGTACGTTCTTGTTGAATGGTCACAGATGTGCTTACAGAAGCACTGGCACTGCATGTCTGACTTCCATTGGGTGTGTCCATCGTCACTGTCCGTGCCTTTGTAAACACACAACTCTTGAACCACCTCCTGGACTGAGTCATCTGCTCACTTGCATCGATACTTAGAGATGTGCAGCTCTCTGGCTTTCAAGGAAACTCCCTACTGAATGGCATAAAAAGATTTTGAAAATCCAGCAGTCATAATTCCCTGTATAACAGTATTAAAATAACCTGCCTGCTTGGGAAGAGGAGAACACTTGCCCAACCCAAAATGTGTAATTTGTGAAAAATTAACATGCTGAGTCAGAAGCAGTAATCTTAAAAAGCTGTACAAAGAATATCAGCCAAATAGAGCTCTGCTTTGTAGCATGCCTTTAAAACCCTTGCCACAAAACCAGTGAGCTCTGCTTGCTGCTGCCCTGCTCCCAGAGGGTCACTCAAGTGGGTCAGTGGGAGGAACGGGAACAAGACAGCTTTTACCATCTGTCCAAATGATGTCCTGAGGCCTGAAAATACCTCCCTGTTGGAAGAAGTAAGGAAGAATGTTGTTACAGATAGAAATAGGCTGCTCTTTTGCCTTGACCAACATTGTACTAAGGGCATTATTCTTTCCCAACATACATACCCACGCTGCTAGGGGCCTTCGTTCATATAATGAGTGTCCCAGCTCCCCGATAAATCTGGCTAGTTCTCTGCCCTGGCTGAGGATACAACAGTGGGTCATCTACTCAGAGCACAGAAACCTGCAGCTTTCCTGCCTCGAAAGTATTTTTTCCATTTTCCTTGTGCGCCACCTGTTTCAGTGTGATGACTGCTGGATCCTTGTTCGTGGAAACTCAGTTGGAAACTTGCAACTAGCAAAGGCCTTTTCTGTTTTCCATTTCATTTGTCATTCAGCTGACTTGCTTTTTCAGACTGACTGCAGATGTGTGTGTCTTGACTTGCCCATGTGGTGTTTGGAGGCTCCACCTTGAAAAGGGAGAGTCAGGGCAACTTTCCCTACATGGGAAAACTTGAAAATTCGTTAGCAATATCCTACGTCAGAGCCAAATTCTATTTCCTTTATATCAAACTATGGAGAACTAAAAGCACATCATGTGTTTATAGTGTTTTGTATGTGACGCATTTCAGTATTTCTATTACTAGACTAGTGCTTTCTAGCAAATGATTCTGTTAACTTAGGGAGTCACTGGTTAAATCTGCTGTGGTGATAGGTTGATGCTGTGTAACTAATCCTGTGGATGCCTCCGTGTTATTTTTGTCTAAACTAAGCAGCCATGGTAGCCGCTATGATTTTTGCTCAGCAAAGTAAAATAAATGTTAAATATGGACTGCTTTGTTTTCTTCCTTCTGTAACTCTGGTGTTTATGCTACTGAAATGATCAAAGCTGGCTTCTTATTGCCTACACCAGCTTCTAGCAACCTAAAATGAGCAAGAGAAACCAATTCTCAAAAACAAGAGGCTGTTTGCAAACAGCAAAGGATTGCAATCCAGGGTTCGTCCACAGGCTCATCTCAGACTGGGACAAGGGCGAGCTTCTGTAGGCAAAAAGAAGTCCGCGTCAGCTATCCTGACACAAACATCAGTGGCAACAGGAGCCTGTGTGGTGGTGGCCTCTGTTAACTGGCGGGGCTGGCTGTTGCTCACAGACGGTCTTCACAGAAGTGGCTTAACCCAAACTTCTGGTAGGGAAAGACCTTTGTGGCGGCTCCCATTACAAGCACAAGTGCAAGGCCACCCCCCCCCCCTTGTGGCCTCCAGCGTCAGTTTTCTTAGGGTTTGACATAAATGGCTGCATTTGGGTACTCACAGATTTCACAAAGGAAAGGTAAAATGGAGAGTTTCAACTGGGTGTGGTGGCGCATGACTATAATTCCAAAAATTTGGGAGGCTGGCAGGAGGATCACTTGAGGTCATAAGTTCAAGACCAGCCTGCCCAACATGGCAAACCCCCGTCTCTACTAAAAATACAAAAATTAGCCAGGTGTGGTAGCGCATGCCTGTAGTCCCAGCTACTAGGGAGGCTGAGGCAGGAGATTCGCTTGAACCCCGGAGGCGGAGGTTGCAGTTACCTGATATGCTACTGCACTCCAGCCTGGGTGATAGAACAAGACTTACCAAAAAAAAAAAAAAAAAAAAAATTCCCCAATTCCCAATAACTCAGGAAGCAACATGAGAGCTTGGGTACACAAAAGAAGCATTTCATTCCAGGATGAAAAACATTCCCATACCCATCACCCTTGTGCCCTAGTCAATTTCTTCTCCCATTTTACATTTTCCCATTTCAGGCCCAGTAAATGCGGATATTTTTCTCCCATGGTCTCCATCCTGAGATTCAGGATGGGACTTTTCAAGTCAAGAAGATAACCTGACATATGGAAAGGGAATTACTCGTTTTGTCCACCTCTCCTGGAAGATTCTAATTCCAAAGGTTTGGAGTGGGGCCTTGAGAGTTAGGGGTTAGCACCTTACCCAGTTTGTCTGCACAAGCACTGTCAGCTTTCAAATCACAATGTAAAAGGCCAGGCATGGTGGCTCAGGCCTGTAATCCCAAGACTTTGGGAGGCCAAGGTGGGCGGATCACGATTTCAGGAGTTGGAGACCAGCCTGACCAACACGTGAAACCCTGTCTCCACTAAAAATACAAAAATTAGCTGGGGATGGTGGGGCATGTCAGTAATCCCAGCTACTTAAGAGTCTGGGGCAGGAGAATAGCTTGAACCGAGGACGCAGAGGTTGCAGCGAGCTGAGATCGGGTCACTACACTCCAGCCACTGCACTCCAGCCTGGGTGACAGAGCGAGATTCTGTCTCAAAAAAAATAAAACTTACATTGTAAAAGACCAAGCGCGGTGGCTCACGCCTGTAATCCCAGGACTTTAGGAGGTCAAGAAGGGCATACCACCTGAGGTCAGGAGTTCGAGACCAGCCTGGCCAACATGGAGAAACCCGTCTCTATCAAAAATATAAAAATTAGCTGGGCGCCTGTGGTTCCAGCTACTCGGGAAGCTAAGGCAGGAGAATCGCTTGAACCCGAGATGAAGGGGTTGCAGTGAGCCGAGATCGCGCCACTGCACTCCAGCCTGGGCGACAGAGCGATACTCCGAATGTAAAGTAACTATACAAATAAATAAAATCACATCATAAAAGCTCTCCCTGCCCTGCTTTTGCATAAGATTCAGAGTTAAACTCCGGGGATGGGCCTTTACAAGACGAACAGTTACAAGACGCATCTCGCGAGGTATCCAGCAGGTAAATGGGGCGGGCTCCACCCACCTGCCAGACTGGGGGCCCCAGGGGTCAAGGGGGTCTAATGCGGCGTCACAAGCGAAGGCACTCTACTCGCTAGCCTCGCGGCCGGCGCGGACAACGCGGCCAGAAGCGTCACAGTCGGATTCCGGGGGCCGGCCACACGTTCCGCGCCGGCGCAAACTGCTCCCAAAGCAGTAGTCGCTCTGTTCGGCGCCCTGATTAGTGCGTCACCAGCCCTCGCCGAAGTCGGAAGTGCAGCTCAAGGCGCTGATTCTTCTGGAGTCCTGGACCTGAGCAAGCGCGGTCTTATCAGTCCTTGCCGATACAGGAAGTGCCGTTCAGGGCGAGCCCCTGTCTTGGTCTCAAGTTTTGTGGCGGAGGCGGCTTATGCGTCATCATTAGGCGCCAACGCAGGAAGTGACGACACTCCTGGCGCGCGCCGGTCGCTGTTCGCTGTTTCTTCTCAGGCTCCGGGACCGGTGGCGGCAGCGGTAGCGGCGGCGGCGGCAGCGGCAGCGGCGGCGACGTAGGGGTGAGTGACGATTGGGCGGACTAGATGGGGGAGCGCGACGAGAACTGCGCACACTAGTTTCCCATCCGAGCGAGACTCGGAGCTGGGCGGACGTGGGGCCGGGGCCGAGCGACACCCTCGCTTCCCCGGCCAGTCTCATCCCGCGCGGAACTTCGAGTGGTGGAGGCGGCGGGCCCAAACGCTCCCTGGAGCCAGCGTCTGCCAGGCTGAACCCCAGGAAATAGCCCAGCGCCTGGGTCAGGCGTCCTTGTGCGCTAGCACATCTCGGACACCTTTCACCGCGGCCTCAAGGGGCAGCTGTCCAGTGTGCTGGCGGCTTCCCGTATTCCAAATATCTTTCTAGCGGATTCTGACAGTAAAAGCAGTGTTTGATGAGTGGCAGGCCCTGAGCTAAGAGCCTTTAAGTGGATGATCTTTAATCCGCTGTCGATACTGTCACGTAGGTGGTGTTATTCTGGTTGTGCAGAAGACCAAACTGAGGTGAATTACGTTACCCAAGACCACACAAGAAAACGGAAAAAAGATTTGATTTCAAGCAGTCATCTTTGAGAACCTATCTCTCTTTTTGTCGCCCATTCTATAATACTGTGGCTGCTTGTGAGCACACTGGAACTCCCGGGCTCCAGCGGTCTTCCTGTCTCAGCTTGCAGAGTGCCTAGAAGTACAGGCGCCCACCACTTTGCCTGGCTTACAACTTATTCTTTTTTTTTTTTTTTTTTTTTTTTTGAGACAACGTCTTGCTCTGTAGCCCATGCTGGGGTGCAGTGACACAATCTCGGCTCACTGCAACCTCCGCCTTTTGGGTTCAAGCGATTCTCCTACCTCAGCCTCCCAAATAGCTGGAATTACAGGTACCCGCCACCACGCCCAGCTAATTTTTTTTTTTTTTTTTTGAGACGGAGTTTCGCTCTTGTTACCCAGGCTAGAGTGCACCGGCGCGATCTCGGCTCACTGCAACCTCCGCCCGCTGGGTTCAGGCAATTCTCCTGCCTCAGCCTCCTGAGTAGCTGGGATTACAGGCACGCACCACCGTGCCCAGCTAATTTTTTGTAATTTTTAGGAGAGACGGGGTTTCACCATGTTGACCAGGATGGTCTCGTGATCCACCCGCCTCGGCCTCGCAAAGTGCTGGGATTACAGGCTTGAGCCACCGCGCCCTGCCTAATTTTTGTATTTTTACTAGAGACAGGCTTTTGCCGTGTTAGCCAGGCTGGTCTTCAACTTTTGACTTTGAGATCCACCGGTTTCAGCCTACAATTTAACCTTTTTTTTTTTTTTTTTTTTTTTTTTAGTAGACTGAGTCTTTCATCCAAGCTGGAGTGCAGTGGCAATCTTGGCTCACTGCAGCTTTGAGTTCTCCAATTCAAGTGATCCTCTTGCCTCAACCCCCTAAGTAGCCAGGAATACAGGCGCACGCCACCACACTTGGCTGATTTTTGTATGTTTTGTAGAGAGGGGGTTCTGCCACATTGCCCAGGCTGGTCTTCAACTCCTTTGCTCAAGCAATCCTTCAGCCTTGGCCTCTAAAAATGCTAGGATTACTATCTTGAGCCACTGTGCCTGGCCAAAACTTCTCATTCTTAACGAGGATTTATTCTGAATCCAAAAGTGACTAAGTTCAAGTGTTCAGAAACAATAGAGCATCTAACCATAGCTTGCTGTGCCCTGATGTAGGCTGAATTATTTTTCTTTTCGCAGTGTTTTAACTCAAATGGGTGATGAAAAGGACTCTTGGAAAGTGAAAACTTTAGATGAAATTCTTCAGGAAAAGAAACGAAGGAAGGAACAAGAGGAGAAAGCAGAGATAAAACGCTTAAAAAATGTAAGCCATGTTTTTTAAGTAAGTGGTTTTCTTAAAGGAGATTTAATTTCTTTGCCCTCGTTTTTCCATTAGAACAACGCTTCTTCGGTGAAGTTCTTTTGTACTTCCAAATGTCTCAGGTGAGCCCAAAATCTATTCTAAAAATTACCAAAAACATTCAGATATTCAGTTAACAATTAAGGCAGATTGTTAACACACTAAAGCTGTATCTAGATTGGGCATATGTGGAGAATAAAATATTTTGAATGTTAAGTCATTAGGAAAATTGGACTAATTTTTCTCATTTTGTTATTAGTGTATTCATAATACTCTTTCCAAATATTTTTAATATAGTGGGAACTTGCCTTGAAATTAATAGAAATGTTTTACATCCTTCTTGGTTTGCATAAGTGTATTCAGAAAAGCTTTTTAGTAATTTGTAAGAGATATTGGCAAAATCCTCCTTCAGTAAGATTCCTAACACCATTCTGGGATGTTTGTGAGCACAGGCATACCTTGTTTCATTGCACTTCGCTTCACAGATGCTGTAATTTTTCCAAATTAAAGGTTTGTAGCAACTCTGCATTGAGCATTTTTCCAATAGCATGTGCTCACTTTGTTAGCTTTTTTTTTAAACGGGGTCTTGCTCCATAGCCCAGGCTGCAGTGCATTGGCACAATCTCAGCTCACTGCAACCTCTGCGTCCCGGGTCCAGACAATTCTCCTGTCTCAGACTCCCGAGTAGCTGGGATTACAGATGGCTTGCCACCATGCCCAGCTAATTTTTGTATTTTTAGTAGAAACGGAGTTTCACCCTGTTGGTCAGTCTGGTCTCAAACTCTGACTTCAGGTGATCCACCAGCCTCGACCTTTCAAAATGCTGGGATTGCAGGCATGAGCCACCAGGCCCAGCCTAAACCAACTTTCATATGCACTGGGAAACCAAAACACTTGTGCGACTCACTTCATTGTGGTGTACTGGAGCCAAACCTAAAATATCTCCAAGGTATGCCTGTACCGTCTGTGGTATCACCAAGTATTTGGTTTGTAAAATATTCCGTAGGACTCATTTTTGGTTCATATAAGCAACTAACATACTTGGCATAGAATCTGATGTTTCTTGTCATATATGCTATTTTTTTAATTCTCATCTCAGGTTTTCAATTACAGGGAGTTGTAATTTTTATGTAATGGGATTTGAACGAAAGCTTTTTATATGCTGTAACATTCAGAGTATATATGAAAGTTTGTTTTTGGATGTTGGCCAGGTTTGCTTATTATTAAAAATACTTGAATCTACAAATAAAAAATAATTAATCTATAAAGAAAATGATTAACTTTCTCTTTGCTTCTTAGTCTGATGACCGGGATTCCAAGCGGGATTCCCTTGAGGAGGGGGAGCTGAGAGACCACCGCATGGAGATCACGATAAGGAACTCCCCGTATAGAAGAGAAGACTCTATGGAAGACAGGTGAGCGGCTGTGCAGAAGCATAAGGGTGACTGGCGGCAGAAGACACTGAGTGCTGTACATAGCCGTGGCCTGGCTCGTCTTTCCTAGGGTTACTGTGATGGTGTATTGGTGTAACCTTAGGTTTACATCACCCTGTGACTGACTCTCATGTAGTATGCGTTGTCACCTCATGCCCTTGCCCTTTCTTTCTGTAAAGAAGTTTGCCATGTGTTAAAATGCTTAATAAAATTTACTATGTAAGATTTTGCACAGGCTGGGCCCATTGACTCATGCCTGTAATCCCTGCACTTTGGGAGGCCAAGGTGGACGGATCACCTGAGGTCAGGAATTCGAGACCAGTCTGGCCAACATGGTGAAACCCCATCTTAAAAGAAAAGGAAAAGATTTTGCGCAAATAAAGTAGAATGCTGAAAGATACCTGAGGGCCGCCCATCAGGAATGTTCATACTGGCTGGGTATGGTAGCTCATACCTGTAATCCCAGCACTTTTGGAGGCCAAGGCAGGCAGATCGCTTGAGCCTCAGGAGTTTGAAGTCAGCCTGGGTAACAGGGAGACCTCATCTCTACACAAAATAAGAAAGGAAGAAGATGAGAAAAACCAAATGAGTTTCCCTGCCATAGTCAGGTGCCATTCATGGTCATTGTTGGAAACACGATTGTAGGTGACACACAGAAAAATTAGCACTGAGACAAAAGATTTCTCAGTAAAGCAATTTTTACTTTCTGGACTTCAGGAAGGGTACCCTCACTAACCATCTTGCCACGAGGGTACAACAAACAAAGGAAAAGCAAACATATTTATCCCTTATGCATTTTGGGTTGTCCTTGCTGCTGTGTCTGATTTCCATTGACTGGAGCCAGACCTCACAATTCAAACGAAAACCCAATTGGCTAACAACTTAAAACTTTTTTATTTTTGAGATAGAGTCTCACTCTCTTACCAGGCTGGAGTGCAGTAGCGTGATCTCGGCTCACTGCAACCTCCACCTACTGGGTTTAAGCAATTCTGCCTCAGCCTCCTGAGTAGCTGGGGCTACAGGCATGTGCCACCATGCCCGGCTAATTTTTGTAATTTTTAGTAAAGATGGGGTTTCACCATGTTGGCTAGGATGGTCTCGATCTCTTGACCTCGTGATCCGCCCACCTCAGCCTCCCAAAGTGCTGGGATTATAGGCGGGAGCCACTGTGCCTGGCCTTAAAACTTTTTTAAACAGCTGAAAGCAGTGGCGAGCTATGATATGCCTGTGGGCATGTTCAGC